CATAGAAACCAAACCATACTCCCAAACCATGGTGAGTTGGGGCTATTTCGGAGAACACTGGAAGTTTCAGTCTGTTGTGAAATGCCTCTTGAAGCGGTGTTTCTCTTCTGCATGAAATGTTACCTCCTCTGATAAAATGCCCCCCAACATGCTCAGCGTGATAGAACATTTTAAATGATAATAGTTTTTACTTGGTAATAATGCATAAACCTTAGTAAATAGTTGTTTCAATTCATTCTTTGAAATGCTCTAAACATTCCCCTTATGTTACTATTTACATGATTCATTTACTGAGAAAATCTTTTTTCAAAAATGGTGAAGAGACTGCAACCTAATCCTATTTGACTTACCACCAGATCTAATTTACTGGTGTTTCCCCTAGTTAGCCTGCAGGCAACATCTTCAAAGTTTTCCCTAGCCTCTTCCTAGATTATAGGCTTATCATAGACCCAAAAGGAATCATAACTTTTCATCAGGGAAACATTGCCTGTTTATATTCTGCAGGGCATGAGCAGCAAATCTTTCAATGAGACAGGCCATTAGACTTTTACTTGGCAAAGAAAGACAATCTCAATAAACTAGTAAACGACTGTCATTCTTTGACTTATTACCAGGTACCTTAAGCCCCTTATACACTTTGCCTTTAATCTTTGCAACAACCATGCCAGACAGGCTCAGAGACAAGCTCAGGCAAATGTGCCCAAGATCACCCTACAAGGTGGAGGGGCTGGGATTCGAAATTAGGACTTTGACTCAATATCCTGTATTCTTTATTCCTCCATTGTGCTACAATTACAAAGCAGTTGTTCTGGTTGTGATCTCTCAAGGCTGAATAGGTGGCATTTTAATTTTCATTCGAAAAGAATTTCTCTGAACAGTGACTTGACATGGGTCCTCTCAAATTTGCTCAACCTTGCTGCCCCTTGAAGCCAGGCTGTTTTCCATATAAGTTAGTGGGGAAAAGGCAGGGTTCTCGGCTGATTTAGTGTTGATTTTAGAACTTTATGTTCTGTCTCTTTCCTTTCTTCAAAGATAGTGATGCTCTAATACACTGGAAACCAACACAAATCAAAGCCTGATCATAGTTAATAGGGAGGAGCATCAGCTGGGCCTCACTGTACATACTGTGTGAACTAGGGCATCCCGGGAAAATGGTTGCCAACCTGAGAAACGGCCCCAAATCAGAAGGCACCAGAAACTGATACAAAATGAGAGAAAAAGAGAAAAAGAGTTAATGGTCCCTAGAGGGACCACAAACAAACTGTGCTCATAGACATATCTAGTCCTTGCTCAGATTGGATTCTGTTTAGTGGATGGCCTCTTCCCACCTTCACAAACTGAAATTAGCATTTTCAAGTCCCCACTTGGGTTGTCTCCTCCGTGAAGCCCTTGTGTCTCTTCCTGAATTCACTCCTTGTTCCCCGCTCTGAAATTCTATTGCATTTACACCTGGCTCACACAATTTTGTTCTTTATTCACATGTTCTTTTACGTGTTTGTTGGGCCCCTTTCTCCAACTGGATTTTAAGCTCCTTAAGAGTAGCAATGTTGTAAAAGTAAATGGAACACTGATGACACAGTAGGAAGTCAAGAAATACTTGTTGAATGATTCTGATTTTTATACACTTTGGTTGGGAAATCGTCAAATTTGAAGGCATTTATCTAAATGAGGACAATCTTTCATGAACACTTCTTTAAGGGGCTAACATTTGCTTGCTCTGCTCTAAAAAGGACAAACTTCTTTTAACTATTTCCCCTAAAGCAGCACCATAGTAGTGATCCTCCCCTCCCAACTGCTAGAGGTTGGGGAAGAAAGGGGATGTATTCACATATGCTGGTGAAAGAGGACTTTGGATGTTAAACCATTTTCTAGAGTCCCGGAGCTCAGTAAAGTTTACCATTTGTATAGGAATCTTTTAGCTCTTGGATGGAAAAAACTCTTTCCTGTAAAACTTCATGGAATTTCTGCTCCTGGCAGGGGCGACAGTTATTCATTGTGGATCTTGAAAACTGTGGCATGGTTATCCAAATGGGCACCAAATAAAGCGAGAAAAGAAAAGACTCAACTACATATTTTAGAATTCTTTTTGGTTCCAGGTGATGGGCTGGGCAGGCTGTGACTGGCACAGACAGGACTAACCCTTTACTCAGACTCAGGGGATCACTTCTGATCTAAAAACCTTGTCCTCCAAACCAGCTGCTGAAGAAACAAACGTCAAGTCCAAGACCTTACTTCATATTCTGGATGACCACACGTTCTACCTGCATCTCTGTTTTGCCCAGAGGTGGCTTCAGTCTTTTTAATTGGAGCTTCTGTGTAGGGTCCTGCTGGGGATGGGGGTTTTATGTTTGAATATAGGTCCATTTCCTTCTCTGGATGATTTTGACCATCTCGCCTACCTCCTTTCAATCACCTGCACTTGGCTGAGTAACAGACATATACCCCTAGGGATCCATCTTATCTAAGAAGAGTTCCTTTATTATTATGGGACTCTGAAGTGGGAGCCAACTCTCTGGAGAGAATTTCCAAAAGAGTTCAATAATTTTAGCTCAGCTTCCACTAGAACAGCAGCTAACATTTATTAAGCACTTACTACGAGCCAGGCCTTCTGCATTCATTTCATTTAATATTCATGATGCTGCTAAGAGTGATAAAGTAGTATTATTCCAATTTTACAGATTAGGGAATTGATGCACAAAGGGGCTAAATCACTTGGTCAAGGCCACACAACTAATTGACAGTGAAAGTCAACTTAGATACGCAGGACAGTGCCTGGCATGTTACACATGATCAATGAATATTTGTTGAATAAATGAATGAATGGTCCTGGATCTCAAATCTTAGGGTGTTCATAATTTTGTTGTAGACATATAGCATTTTCAGGTGAGAAGGGCAATAGCGCATAAGATGTGATGGGGTGGTGTTTATCAAGGGTCAACTGAGCAGAAAACTGAGCGATGAGCACTCAGGTAAGGGAGATATAAGATGTAAATGAAGGCTGGAGTGGGATGGGAAGGTAGAGGGGACTTGGCTCTGAGCTCTTTTCATTTTTCAGTACATTAGAGGACACCCTTTCTTCTTGGCTTACAGGCCCAGGGCTTAAGCCATCAGTCATAGTCCTGTATCTGCCATACCACAAGTTTGGTCCTGAGGTGTTTCCCTTCCGCCTCCTCATGCCCTTGTGGCCTTAAGGGCATGGCTGTTTCTCTGTGGTATGGTCAGACATAATGAGAAATGCAGGCCCAAACTGCTGGATCACTCCAAAGCAGGGAGGAATCTGGAATGGAGTTGTTAGGTTTGGGGTATTTTAATCATTTCCTGCAGGTTGGCAAGTTCCAGAAGGGTCAATTTTTAAAAGAAGCAGGCGGTACACTTGAAATTTCACTGCTTCTCCAGAAAGTTTTCATATTTGGTTTCCAGATTTGATGTTCCACTGAGGGGTGTCTGAGACTCAGACATTTCTCAGTGGTGACACTTTTCTGTGACAACCCTAATTTCTTATTTTGGTCCAGTAAAACTTTTCCATTGGGGCACCTGGGTGGCTCAGCTGGTTGAGTGTTTGACTTCAGCTCAGGTCATGGTCTCATAGTTCATGAGTTTAAGCCCCACATCAGGCTTGCTGCTGTCAGCACAGAACCCACTTCAGATCCTCTGCCCCTCTCTCTCTGTCCCTCCCTCACTTGTGTTCTCTCAAAAGTAAATAAAACATTAAAAAAGAAAAGTAAAACTTTTCCATTTTCCATACCCATTGCACTGGTTTAGCCTGCTTTTAAGAAAACTGGTTTGCTCCTAACACAGGATGGAAATGTGTGTTGTGGGAGGCGGGCAGAGGGGCAAGTTGGGAGGGAAGACTGTCCATCCGGAGGCCGGATCTCCTGCTCATTTATGAGATGACTCATTTTTATTTTGTCTGGCTTCAGTGCATGCCTGCTAGTTCTTGTCCACCTGTGACAGTATGAGGGATACAAGCCCCAATCAGTGGGGGGCTCTAATGACATGTCCTCCAGTGCCCAGGCAGAATGTGACCATAGGATCTGTCCATGCTGACCATCAGGTCAAACACATTAGCCCTTAGAATGATTCAGTGGAAGAAATGCACTTGGTGACAACAACCGAATATTCAGACAAAGGTTATTTTGGAAATACTCATGCTAGGGGCTGAGGACTGTATAAAAGCTCCCTTAGCCCTGACAGTCCTCTGATGGGCTGAGCTCTGACATATTGACAGCGGGAGGGAGCAGCTGCACTGACGCAAGGGTTCCCACCCATGGTCACACACAAGAACCTTCCCAGGAGGCCTTGCAACCACCAAAGCTAGGGCCCACTCCAGACTTGGCTTCAATTGTTCTGGCATGAGTCTGGGGGCATCATAATTTTTTTTTTTAAGTCTTCCAGGTGATTTTATATGTAGCCAGAAAAAAAACCACCCGCCATTAAGGATCCAGAGAAGGAGTGTCTGAAGAGTTGGTGGAATACAATCCCACTCGTGCCTCACAATCCCCTTGGCATAGCCCCCACCCTGCTCCATCAATTTTCCATTTTCTCCAGGATTATTTCCACCATCATAATAACAAGCTGCAATTTCTCCCATTCTAAACAAGACTCTCCTTATACTCCACATTGCCCTTTAGTTTCTGCCCTATTGCCCTGCTTCCTTTTAGAGAAAAACTCCCTAAGATGTGCTTTCTGTGTGTGCCATCCAATTTCTTTCTGCACAATTCCTCCTAGACACAGTCTACCCAGATATCTCCCATCACTACTGCACAGACAATGGCCCTATCTTACCATCCAGACATGCAGGTGTGTTCAGCTCTCACCCTTGCTCAGAGATGAGGAACCTGGAGAAGCCCAGCACAGGCATTCCCGATACCCTCTGGGGTCCAGCCTACAGCTGGCCCTGCGGAGCTGGGATCAAAGCTCATGAACAGAATGCAGAACTGGAAACTTCCCAGGGAAATGAGAATGACAATAAAGCCTTCAGGAAAGGGAAAGTGACTTACACAGCGTGTGGTGGTGATGATGACAGAACTGGAGATGAAAGAGAGACCATCGTTCATGCTGACCTGAAGCGCTGCTTTCCTGCAATGACAAAGGAGCCAGAGATGCTCAGCAAGGTGTACAAAGAGCAGGGGCCCATGAGCTGACACTGAGGTCCCCTGTAAGCCCTGCTCCTCACTACCCAGGGGAAAGACTGTGGTCTCTTCCCCTGGGGCCTGTAAAATGTAGAGGAAGTCTCTAGGGTCCATCGACTGTAACCTTCTAGAGACGTCAGGATACCCTTGGCTAGTGTATCAAGGCATTGCATTCAGCCCTTCTTACATTGCAGCAAATTGCATTGAATGGGAAAAGCCTGCTGCCATTTAATTTACCTGTCACATTGTCATAGGAAGAAGTGTTCCCCAAAGATGGCTCGAGTCTATGGGGATAAACTTGTCACGCTGTAAACTTAATGTTCTGTTGTTATTATTGGGGCTATCAGTAACTGATTCTGACGAGGGGGTTTGTGACCATCCTGGCAAACTCACGGAGGTACAGCAGTAGATGAGTTACCTTCCATCCACCTTCCGTCTCTGTGAGACTCACTGAAACCTGAGCTTGCATTTTGCTTGTACTTGGCCGTATGGACACAGGGTTAGTTGGTGGAATCAGTGGACTTGGAGACCAGTGTTAGGCAACCAGAGTTGGAGGCTTTACCATTAGAACAAATGATCAAAAGCAGAATTTAGATGAAAATGTTTAGTATTGTTTCCTCAAGACCACCATTCTATCTTCAGCCTGTTGTAGACATGTTTACAGAGAAATGAGTTTGTGTTCTCTGACAAACACAGCTTCTCTGCTTCCCCACATAGTTCTTTTCTTGCTCAGGGTACTAATTGTCTTCCTTCTGTTGAATATTTTCATCACACTTCACCACCACCTATTATAATAGCACTGCCATGGAATTTCTCCCCATAAATTAGTTCACAGAACCTTGTGCAGTCTGGGTGAACACCCAATGTCCTGCAGAGGCTCAGAGGAAGGAGCACTGAGCTTGGCCTCAGAAGGTCTGAAGCTGAAGTCTTCAACCAGCTCTGGACCCACTTAGCCCCTTTGAGCTTCCTTTCTGAGCTTCCATATCTCTAAGGAGGAGATAATCATCTAGCAGGGAAATTACGATGACGGGGCAAGGTAAAGTTTGTGAGAGGGAAGTGTGAGAGCTTTCTAGAAATGTAGTTGTGTGAGACACACCTTTATTCAAATCTAGACAGTCCCACTACTGCAGTGTGACCTTGGGCAAACTACTTAAATTCTACTTAAATTCTCTCAGCCATAGATTCCACATCTGTAAAACTGGGATGACGTGAGTACCTGGTTCTTTGGGAACTTGGGAGGATAAAGTGAGATCCCCTTTGTGAAACATTTGTCCTGGTGCCCTGCTCACTGTAAATGGGCACCATCATCATTACCTGGAAAGGTCTAGACAAAGACTGCATCATGACAATGAAGAGAGACGTTTTCTTCTCCCTCTGTCCCCTCTACCTTCTCTCTCCTCCCTGGCTGTGAGGTTCAGTTGCTGGTGGAAACTTACATGCCAACTTCTTTTAAGATAGGTGCTGGACACAGCAAATAAGTATCTTCCACAGTGAAGGGCTTCTCATCTGTAAAAAGGAAGTCACTGGATTAAGAGGAGTGAAGTGACTTTATAATTTCATATTCAGTGACTCCTAGAGACCGACTCCTGGGAGACACTAGAAAAGCAGTAACTATTTGAAATAGAAACTAGCCTTGAGCCATAAAATCCACTCAAGTGAACGCACTTACAGTCTCCTGCCAGAACACTAGTCTCTGACTTCATACATCCAGATGAGTTAATCAGGGAACAAATAGAAACTGAGCTCTTACCATAGACCAAGCATAACCAAGGGGAAACCAGAAGATACAAGCCTGGTCCCCAGGGGAGCTTCAAGTCTGAGTCTAGTTTGAGAGAGAAGTCATATTCATTGGAGAAGGTTTGCTGATGCAGCATTGTTTACAATAGCCAAGACACGACATGGAAGCAAACAACTTAACTGTCCATCCATGGATGAATGGCTAAAGAAAATGTGGCATATATATATATATATATATATATATATATATATATATAATGTATAACACAATACATATAGAATATATATATAATGTGTATATATATAGTGTATATATATATCATTGTGTGTATATATATATACACACACACAATGATATATCTTGTGTATGTGTGTCTGCACACACATACACAAGATATATCATTCATTCATAAATAAAGTAAATCTTGCCATTTGTAACAACGTGGTTGGACCTGGAGGGCATTATGCTAAGTGAAATACGTCAGATGAAGAAAGACAAATATCATATGATCTCACTTTTTTTGTTGAATCTAAAAAAGAAAAAAAATGAACTCATAGATTCAGAGAACAGATTGGTTGTTGTCAGGGTGGGGGTGGGGATGGGGGATGGGCGAAATGGGAGAAGGTGGTCAGAAGGTACAAACTTCCAGTTACCAAATAAATCATAAGGATGTAATATGCAGCATGGTGACTATAGTTAACAATACTATACTGCATATTTGAACGTTGCTAAGATAGCAAATCTTAAAAGTTCTCATCACAAGAAAAAACTTGTAGCTATGTATGGTGATGGATGTTAACTAGATTTATTGTGGTGATCATTTCACCTTCTACACAAATATTGAATCACTCTGTTGTATATCTGAAACTAACATAAACCTATTTATCAATTGTATCTCAATTTTTTAAAAAAGAAAAAGTTTGCTGACATATTAGAAGTGGCTAAGCCAAAATATCATTTGACTTCAGAAGACAGAGAGCTCCCTTTAGGTGGGCGATGTGGTGAGGCGACAGGAAACACAAAACCTGAGATGTACTTTGGCGAAGAGAATGGCAAGAGGAATTGCATGAGTAAAGGCAGAGCACAAACAAGACATATGCCAGGGTAGGAGGGAAGTAGGATTTGAAAAGATCAGTATAGGAAGAAGTTTGAGTGAGACTGAGGAATTTGGACATAAGTCTATTAGCCACAAAGAGATCTTTGGAGACTTTGGGAGAAAAACTTGAAGTGATGATTTTGGAAGTTTCAGCAGATGCAGCTGTGAAAGATGGATGAAAGCGGGGGGACACTAGAGGTGGGAAGTTCTTGCTCTTATTCTGTGGGTTGACTGGGGAAATCTTAAGCAGGTTTCATCTTGAGCTCCTTAAAAATGTCATTGTGTCCCAGGTTCTGGGGCCAGAAGCAGGTCTGAGAAGTTACTGACTGTAGTCAGTATATAGCACTTGTTCCTTCATGATGCAACATTTAAGAGTGCATGCTCTGTGCCAAGAATTGTGGTAGGACCTGTGGGTGAGATGGAGCTGAATAAAATGAGTCCCTTTAATCAGCTGTGAGTATGAATGCCTGCCCTAGAAGACAGAAAGGAACACATGTATAATTGAAGGACAGTATTCTGCTATTGGCATGTTATGAAACTGATGTGTCTAATGACATTGGACTGTGGCAGACACGAAATGCTTGCCTGAGTGGGGATTAGGAAGCCTCGTGCCCTCCATGCCTGAGTTGAAGGTGCAGAGCCACCGGGGGTGGGAGTTAGAGGACACATCTGAGTGCTAAGCACTGTGTCTCCATGGAAGCAGGAAGAAGAGGATGGTCCGTTACAGTCTCCTCTGATGTCTAAGCAAATTTTCAAGTGGTGAAAAGTTCGGTTATTCCAAACCATTTATTAATTTATTCACGCATGCATTCATTCATTCATTCTTTTGTTCATTCATTCGTTCAACAAATATTTATTAAAGACCTACTTTGAGCTAGAGACATAGGCTTTGAGAAGAGAAACATGGTCTCTGATTTAATGGATTTTATAGGAGCTGCAGGGGGGGATAGTTATTGAGTACTTTCATTTTTATTGAAAAATATATTCTTTTGAATGTCTTCCACATGTCAGGGCCTTGCAATGAACAAAACAGATGAAAGCACCTCGCTTAAGGAGCTGACATGCTAGTAACTACACAAGTTACTATTTCATTATAATTGTGGTGAGCGCAAAGAAAGAGAAAGAAGGTCAGGAAATGCTTCCCAGAGGAGAAGCCATATAAGCTAACACCCATTGTCAGGTGAAGAGGACATGGAGTGAGGCAGGAAGCCCTGCAAAGGTCCTGGGGCAGGAAGGAGCCTTTTAGCTTTGAATGCTAAAAGGAGGTCAACAAGGCTGCTGAAGTTGAGTGAGACAGTGATTCAAAATGAGGCTAGAAAAGGCAGCAGGGCCAGAATGATCAAGGCCTTGTGGGCCATGGTGGGGTGACGGGAAGGTACTGGAGGTCCCTCCTCACATTTAGAACTAGCATTCGCAGATTGCAGAATGTTGCTGGGGCAGTGGAGGCATGTTGAATGGAATTATGAAGCTTTATGGTGACAGTGGTGGATCATACAATCCTGAACTGAGCATTTTTATTTTCAAGGTGTTTCCCAGTCTCTGGTGACAATAATGGCAGTGAGACTCTCCCAGGGCATCCTGTGTGTCGGTGTTCTCTGTGCACTTTGAGCGTGCTACATAATCGAATTTATAACCTGCTAGCTGTGCTCCCAGGAAAGAATATTCTTCCTTTTATTTTATTTTATTTTATTTTATTGTATTTATTTTATTGATTTTTTTAATTAAAAAATGTTTATTTTTGAGACAGAGAGAGAGAGAGTAAGTGGCGTAGGACAAAGAGAGAGAGGGAGACACAGGCTCTGAGCTGTCTGCACAGAGCCCCACGCAGGGCTCGAACCCACAACCTGTGAGATCATGACCTCAGCCGAAGTCGGACACTCAACCGACTAAGCCACTCAGGCGCCACACTTCCCTTCATTTTAAAGGTGAGGAACAGATGTAGAGAGGTGAAGAAACTTGCCCAACATTACCCAGGGGAGCTTGGATCCACACCTAGGCAGTCTGGCTGTCACCTCTTGATAAGAGCCATGCGTTATCACCTTCTACACGACCTTGTGAACTGAGACAAGGCAAGGGCATTGGGCTCATTTCCCAGATGCAAAATGGAGGCTCAGAGAGGCAACAGTGACCCATGGTTGCACAGCAAGTCAGAGGCAAAGCCGGGACTAGATGTGAATTCTCCATTATTCTTCCCTTGCCAAGAGCCTCTCCATTCCAGGAAAGGCTTATATTAGACAATAAACCAAACTCAGGACAGGCATGGCTGACTAGAACTGTATTTATTTTTTCTTGGCCATGGCTTATCCTGCTTCACATGCACTAGTAATACCTGGGAGTGCAGATCCCTGCCCATGGAGCCACGGGGTAGCCACAGAGTGGCCACAGGAGGCCTCGTGACTCTTGGCTGCATTCTGTGGGAAGAGCCGGTCACACAGAATGGGCATCCAAGTCAGAGACACAAGGGAGGCTCCGGGCCCAGTATGCCCATGTGGCTATTAGTGCCCAAGCCACTTCTAGAGCTTTCTCTGAACAACTCCTTCCCTGCCCTCCATCCCACTGGAAGGGGGTGAGAGGACAAGACTGGCCTAGGTCAATCAGTTGGTTCTTTTCCCCTCCCTTCATTTTCCTTTCCTGCTTAGGAGACCAAATATTTCTGGAGCGAAGCAGAGGAAAACCTCACTGGGAGGACTGAGGACACTTTGCTGAGGCTGTGGTGCAGCCTTAACACTGCCTTCTGTCAGTTTATCAGCCTCTGTGCCTGTGGGCCTGCTCTGGGGAGCTGGCATCTTCTGCTCTGAGAGGGATTGTTTGATTTGGAGCCTGTTTTCACTTTACCACAAAAATGAGTGACTTTTTTTTCTCTCTTTCTCTCTCTCTTTCTAAACAAAGAAGGGCCATTTGGTTTCCATAACACAGATCATCTGACTTCTTCCTGGAACGTCCTCTTGGGAAGCAGGGCACAAAGCCTTCCCCCTCAGCTGAGCCACGTTTGGCTCAGGGACCCTGCCAACCTTGCCGCCACTTCTTCCAAAGCCAGTGGTATTTATGGGGCCATAATCCACCCCAAGGACGACTGAGTCCCAGCTCCTCTCTCCAGTGGGCAGCCATTTCACTGTTCGTTAGCATTGAGTGGGCAGGGGAGTGGAGACCAGGACCTAGGACACCAGTGCTTGGCTTGTTGGCAACAGGGGGAGAGAGTTAGGGAGGGGTGGGAGTTTGAAACCAGAAGTTAAGGGAATATTTAGATGATCTGTAAATATAAATTTCCTTGCCTTTTACCAAAGATATTTCAGAATTCAGTGCATACACTCGACATAGGTTAATCTAAAACACTTGCTTATAAGAGTCTAAAAATAGAACAGAAGCTTGATTTAAACCCAGGTTTGAGGATCAATGAGTATCATTATACCAAATTGCCAAACACCCAAGGCTTGAGAGCTGGGCATCCCTGAAGATGAGTACAGAGGGCACAGAGGGGGGCAGAGTACACACACACACACACACACACACACACACACACACACACACATCTATATTCTCACAAATGTGTATATCCACTACATCTAAATCCATATTTATATATTTATTCTGATTCTGTCTGACACGATACTCATGGCCTCATTTGACATTATTATTATTCATTATTTACAATTTGGGAAACTGGCTCAGAGA